CTTACTAAATTCATTTATCAGTTCTAGCACTTTTTTGGTTGGGTCTTTAAGGTTTTCTACATGTAGTATCCTATCATCTGCAAATAGTTAAAGTTTTACTTCTTCCTTACCAATTTGGATGCCTTTTATTTCTTTTTGTTGACTGATTGCTGTGGCTAGGACTTCCACTACTATGTTGAATAAAAGTGATGAGAGTGGACATCCTTGTCTTGTTTCTGATCTTAGGGGGAAAGCTCTCAATTTTTCACCATCGAGTATGATGTGAGCTGTGGGTTTTTCAATGTGACCTTTATTATATTGAGGTATGTTCTCACTAAATCTACTTTGTTGAGAGTTTTTATCATGAATGGATGTTGTCCTTTGTCAAACGCTCTTTCTGCATCTATTGAAATAATCATATATTTTTTATCCTTTCTCTTATTGATGTGATGTATCATGTTGATTGATTTTTTGAATACTGAACCACATTTGCATCCCAGGAATAAATCCCACTTGATTGTGGTGAATGATTTTTTAAATGTATTGTTGGATTTGGTTTGCTAGTATTTTGTTGAGGACTTTCGCATCTATTTCCATCAGAGATATTGGCCTGTAGTTCTCTTTTTTGTAGTGTCTTTATCTGGTTTTAGTATCAGGGTAATATGGGCCTCCTAGAATGAATTTGGAAGTTTTCTTTCCTCTCTATTTTTTGGAAGAGTTTAAATCTTGGTAGAATCTTTAAATCTTTGGTAGAATTCACCCATGAAGCCATCTGGTCCTGAACTTTTGTTTGTTGGGAGAGTTTGGTCACTGATCAATTTCATTGCCAATAATCAATTTGTTCAAATTTTCTATTTCTTCCTGACTCAGTTTTTGGAGGTTATATGTTTCTAGGAGTTTATCTGTTTCTTCTAGGTTGTCCAGTTTGTTGGCCTCTAGTTTTTCATAATATTCTTTTACAATCTTTTGTATTTCTGTGGTGGTAGTTGTTATTTCTCTTCTTTTGTGATTTTGTTTATTTGAATACTCTCTCTCTTTTTTCTTGATGATTCTGGTTTCTCAATTTTTTTGCTCTTTTCAAAGAACCAGCTCCTGGTTTCATCAGTCTGTTCTATTGTTTTTTAAATTTCTATATCATTTATTTCTACTCCAATTTTTATTATTTCCTTCCTTCTACTGATTTTGGCTTTTGCTTGTTCTTTATTTTCTAGCTCCTTTAGGTGTAATGTTAGGTTGTAATTGAGATTTTTCTTGCTTCTTGAGGTAGACCTGTGTTGCTATTCTTCCCTCTTAGAAATGCTTTTGCATCCCAAAGATTTTGGACCCTTGTGTTTTCAATTTCATTTGTTTCCATGTATTTTTGGATTTACTCTTTGATTTCTTGGTTGATCCATTCATTGTTTAATAGCATGTTATTTAACCTCCATGTATTTGTGCTCTTTCCAGATTTTTTTCTTGTGATTTCTAGTTTCATAGTGTTGTGGTCAGAAAAAAATGCATGGTATGACTTCAATCTTTTTGAATTTGTTGAGACTTGTTTTGTGGTGTAATATGCGATCTATTCTGGAGAATGTTCCATGTGCACTTTAAAAGAATGTGTATTCTGCTGTTTCAGGGTGGAATGTTCTGACTATATCTGTTAAAATCCATCTGATCCAATGTGTCATTCAAAGCCACTGTTCCCTTGTTGATTTTCTGTTTGGATGATCTGTCCATTGATGTTAAGTGGAGTGTTAACGTGCCCTACTATTATTGTATTACTATCAGTGATTTCCTTTATGTTTGTTACTAACTGTTTTAAGTATTTGGGTGCTCCCATGTTGGATGCATAAATATTTACAATTGTTATACCTTCTTGTTGGATTTTTCCCTTTATTATTATATAGTGTTTTTTTTTTGTCTCTTGTTACTATCTTTATTTTAAAGTTTATTTTGCCTGATATAAGTATTGCTACCCCAGCTTTCTTTTCACATCCATTTGCATGGTAAATGTTTCTCCATCCCTTCACTTTCAGTCTGTACGTGTGTTCAGGTCTGAGATGAATCCCTTGTAGGCAGCATATAGATGATTCTTCTTCTTCTTCTTCTTCTTCATTTTTTAATCCATTCTGCCACCCTATGTCTTTTGATTGGAGCATTTAGTCCATTTACATTCAAAGTAATTATTTATAGGTATGTATTTATTGCCATTTTGTTCCTTGTTTTATGGTTGTTTTTGTAGTTCTTCTCTGTTCCTTTCTACTTTTGCTCTCTTCTCTCATGATTAGTTGGCTTTCTTTAGTGATATATTTGGATTCCTTTCTCTTTAATTTTGCATA